AAGCCCCAAGCCCCAAGCCCCAAGCCCTAAGCCCTAAGCCCTAAGCCCTAAGCCCTAAGCCCTAAGCCCTAAGCTCTAAACCCTAAACCCCAACTTGCCGGGTTCAGGGCTTTTAGGGTTTGGGATTGAGGACCCAGGTTTGGTGAGGGCACCAGCAACTGGGACCCAGAGTGGGGCCCTTTCCCTTCTTTAGTGGTTAGGGTTTAGGGTTTAGGGTTTAGGGCTTCTCGGCTTCTCTTTCCACAGCCCCTTCAAACAAGACAAGCAATAGGCACGCGTTTAATTCCTAGGCTAATCCTGGGCCCAGAAGCCAACGCCCCAACCCTAGGATACCTGCTCCGAGAAAGCCCTCAACGACGCAGGTCTCGAGTAAACTAGCTTAGGTGAGTCGGTAGCCTTTCACCTCTTGCAGGGGTCGTCGAGGGTGTAGGGGGCTTGGGGTTGAGAATCCCGAAGGCCAAGTGGACCCCAAACCCAGAACCCCAAACCCAAACCCCAAACCCAAAACCCTAAACCCAAAACCCTAAGCCCTAAACCCTAAACCCTAAACCAACCCTACACCCTGAGCCCTGAAGCCGCAGCCAGGCGAAAATCCGCGTCGACCTCTTGCGAGTGACGCCCGTAGCCCCGGAGCAAAAATAAGTTTGGAGTAGACTTTGTCAACACTGAAGTTCACAGCTCACAGGTTTAGGGTTTAGGGTTTAGGGTTTAGGGTTTAGGGTTTAGGGTTTAGGGTTTAGGGTTTAGGGTTTAGGGTTTAGGGTTTAGGGTTTAGGGTTGAGGGTTGAGGGTTGAGGGTTGAGGGTTGAGGTTCTGAGACTTGGGGTTCAGGGTCTGGGGTTCAGGGTTGTTTTGGTCAGCCTAGAGGGGTTTAGGGTTTCGGGAAAAGGGTTTCAGGCGTAGTCGAAATTTTGCTTTTGATAAAGGAAGGGTTTAGTAACGGCATTCTCTACATAAAGAGGTCCTGCAAAAAGGGGATTCTCCTATGTTTGTGGTGTGAAGACGCAACGAATCTCGCAAAACCTCGTAGAGGGTAAAAAGGATTGACTTGGGCATTTCCCAGCATGTGGGTACCCTATCGGATACCCCGTTAATTATACTTCATCTCCTGAAGGGGTACACCCCAAAATAGGGTACAATTCTCTACTGTCGACAATGCTCCGCAGCGGTGTGGCACGATTTGAAAGGGGTTTGCCAAAGAAAGCAGATCCTGACGAGATACGGTCGATTATCTACTGGTACTGGTGCCACGGTATACCGCCGGTAGTGTTTAGGGCTGCGCTAGGTCGAGTTTGAAAAGTTGCACACCCAGCAGCTCAGCAAACTTTCCATGATGCTCTCCATTTAGAGTTCGACCGTAGCTCGTATTGGAGTTGATCGGCCAAGCCAGAACAGCGCGAACGCGAAGCTCCAACAGCGCGATGCTGTCAAAGACAAACCTCCCTTTGAACTGGAGGGGAGCTTCTGGCTTACGTTGCAGGGCGCAATGTGCAGAACCTCTATGTCAACATGCGAAGCCCAGGCATAAGTTTGCGTGTGTGTGTGTGTGTGTGTGTGTGTGTGTGTGTGTGTGTGTGTGTGTGTGTGTGTGTGTGTGTGTGTGTGTGTGTGTGTGTGTGTGTGTGTGGTGTGTGTGTGTGTGTGTGTGTGTGTGTGTGTGTGTGTGTGTGTGTGTGTGTGTGTGTGTGTGTGTGTGTGTGTGTGTGTGTGTGTGTGTGCGTGCTTGGGTTTTGCAGTTAAGCGTTTTGGGTTTGGCCTGCGCCTCGACCACAGACCAGGCAGATGGCAAGTAACGACTTGCCAGAGACTCCAGTTGCACATGCCCTCGGTTTCGGGTTCCAGGGCTTAGATGAGGCTGAGCTTTGTCAAGGTTAGCCAGAAGGCCATGCCAAGATTCCCGAACCCCAAACCCCTGTAAGCCCTTAACCTGGACTCTAAACACCCTTCGGGGCCCGAATCAGCGGGGATGCAGCCGGAATCTTTGAAGCTCTGGATCCTCGTGTCTCCATCCAAACACTGCCTGCAGCGGATCATGCGCGGAGGTACCGGGAGAGAAAACGTGCAGTCCGGGTTTAGGGTTTAGGGTTTAGGGTTTAGGGTTTAGGGTTTAGGGTTTAGGGTTTAGGGTTTAGGGTTTCATTTCAATATCAAACATCAAGCAAAGTAATTTGCTTGCATTCAATGGGTTGGGGCCGAACACCGACTAAAGTTGAAGACTTATCTTACCTGAACTGCGTTGGGTTGGATTTGAGACATTGACTTTGCATTGGAGCCGGTTTTTGGTAACATCTTCCAACTGCAGGTTTAGGGTTTAGGGTTTAGGGTTTAAGGTTTAGGGGTATGATGACTTTGCGTTGAAGGTTGGTCCACACGTTCACATACAGAGGTTGTTTTCGCGCACGAACGTTGCACGGCGGGTTTAGAGTTGGCAAGTTTGAAATGGGGTTCCTCGTGAAACAACTCTCGGAATGCTTGTGCTCAGAGAAAATGAACGATACGGATTAGCATCGATTATTAACGCGAGGGACAGAAGCAACAAAAGATAGAACATGAGCGATCCAGTCCCATAGCGGGAGAAGCAACCCACCACCACCCTAGATCGCACATGCGCGACGAGATCAAAACGAGGTCCCCCATCCTCAGAGCTACAACCTACACGCCCCATCTCCGCCCGCAAAGCCAAGTTCTTGGGATTGACATTGCAAGTATAGACTACGGCGTGAAGGCTATTACAAATCAGCACCTCATGACTCATAACACAGATTGCTGAGGTTCAGTTGGGACTTGGGAGACAGTATGCAGGTTCCCATAGAAGGATACACACGCTCCGACAGGCCTCCGCCCCACCGAATAAAAGGTATATTGGGTGCTTATGGCAAAATCCATTGTGAAACAGCATCCCTGGACAGCTAAAAAATACTATGGTATGATTCAATGACCCGATTCTCAATGCCCACATGAGATGCGAACAGAAAGCATGTAAGATTGCATATATGTGTGTACATACATGTACTGTACATGGTTATGGATATGTACCGCTTTGATTTTTATGAGTATCTATCCTTCATTCTTTCGTTTCAGAAATTATTGCGGACAAAGAAGAACCCTACACCCTAAACCTTAAACGCAAGCCCCTGCGATTGAGTTCGCTTCCACTTGCCTCAGCATGTTGCGATGCATGGCGGTGTTTCGGCTTCGGAGCGCAAGGGATGTTGTCCTTGTTGATCAGAGTAGGTGAAGGTGCCCAGCACAGCATACCGTTTTCTCACAGTACAACCTCGTAAAATTCTTTATGCTAGTACAGCATTGGAGAGCTTACTTTCACTAGTGTAAACAAAGACTTCATGGTTGTCCCACTGAACCACTACCGCCGGAGACAAAGGAAGCATTCCGGCAATTTTTCCCACGCCCCAGTTGGATGCCAAAAGGCCCTCGGCTGCCATGGCAGCCCCGGCCACAAGCCACAAGCACAAGCCTCTGTGTTTTTCTTCGCATGCAAGGCAAGTCTTCTGCTTGGAGTTGAAACCTCTACAGCCTCTACATCTCATCTTGTGCTTTCGAGGCCCAGCAGGACTCCACCTCTTGCAGAGCACATCGACGGGGACTTGGAGGCTAGCGCCGGCGTTGTTTTTTGTCCAAAGCTGGTATGGTAAAACTGGTTCACACTGTTCAGGCAGGGTGCCTGACTAAGGAATGTTTTTGGTGTAAGGTTGCTTGTGGGATGGCAGCGGGTTTTTCTTTCAACGCGTTCTTGGCAATTGAAGAGCGCATCTGAAGCACAGTGTTTACAAGAACAAGAAGCAGTGGACCTTCGCAGACGTTGACTTTTGTTTTGCCAAGACTTCATCCCAATTTGAGCCTTTGGAACTCTCGTGTTTGGGCTTCACGAGTCTAGATGTTGGCATGAGATGTGCGGGATGTAGAGTTCAGCAGCAAGGTGTACGCAAGGTTTAGGGTTCTGGATTTCAGGTTCAGAAGTCTCAAGATCTGGGGGTTTCGCAGATCTTGAAAACTGCACGACGCTGAGATGCGAAGTTGTGCAGGGAGACGGCGTAAGCCATGAAGTCTTTAACTCTCATTCCTAAGTCCAACGACCCTAAATCTTGCTGTCCGAACGAACCTCTGATTGCTCGTTCTCAGAGTTTGTGAAGAATAAGGTATGACACTGAGCAAGGACTTCTGAGGGAAGGCGCAGGTGGGCTGGACTTCGAGTAGCGCGCCAGTGCAAGTGCCGGCACCAGAAACCCAAACCCAAACAGAAGCCTGGGCCCTAAGCCCTAAACCCAAATCAACAGCTTCAGCTAGATATTGCCATCTTTTCCTGAAGCAATGAAGTTGCTGCTTACCAGCCTGCAGGTTCTGCGACCTTTGCTCCAGCCTTGTCCTCAGGGTTTTGCCAGTTCAGGAGCCTTGTGGTTTTGGGCTTGTTTGGGGTTTAGGGTTTAGGGTTTAGGGTTTAGGGCTTGCTGCATTCTGTCTCCTGCGGGTTCAAGACGCGCGCGCACTGCGCCGGAGGACATGACAAGGACCAGGTAGTGTGCTCGAAACTCTTGATGACATGCCCAGCTTCATGATATGTGCGCTCTTTTTTTGCAAACTCGAATTTTTATCCAGCGGTGCACTAGTGGACTCAGCTGCTTTTCACGCTCTGCTGTGCAAATGTCGGCTCCGTGTCCGGATGACTGTCTTCAGGAAGCACGCCTCAAGATGGACCAAGGGTCCTTTGGCAGCGCGTATTCGCAGTTGAGTGCTTGTGTTCAGACTGCGAAGTTGGGAGATCTCTTGGCGCACATGGCAGAGTGCGCGTTGCAACTCGAGAAGTTCGATGATGTCCCAGGCCTGCTGGCAGCCAGCAAGATGTGTGCAGGTGCCAAACCTGCTGTTCGGTACCACCCAGTGGGTTTGTTTCGCACTGGATGCTTGGCGGCCCCGTACCCTCCTCTGCAGGAGGCACATCTTTTGTGGACGGATGCAGAGTTTAGCGGCGAATGTGAACATGGATGGCTCAGCAAGACTGGATCAATGCAGAGCCCATGCACCAAAAGGCGCCGCTTGAACTTGAGGCCGGGGGGAAAACATGACTGCAGCATGTTTGGTGGCTCGTTGCAAGTTGAACCTGATGTCATGCTGCCTAGGCCCAGACTAAAGAGGACAATGGCACTCATGAGCCTAGGCTTTCTAGAGTTTGCAGGGTTTGGGGTCCCCCGAAAAAGAGCTCCCAATGACGCGTCTTGACCAGCCTCTTCAGTGTGCTTGAAGACATGTTGGGACATTTTTGAGACAAAGCTCGTTTCCCGCCCCACTGTGTACCAGCGAGCAGCCAGAGCGCAGATTTTTGTTGCTTCATTTTCAGAATTTTTGGTGCCTCGCTTTGTGCATCCCATAGCAAATGATGAGATCGAAGCCACTGGTAACCTGTACGGCTTGAAACGGAGAATCTCAGACTGCGACACCCGGAATCTCGGAACTCCTACAGACATCGTTGATGCCCAACCCATCTCCCGTTCCCCAGTCCTCCAAATCTTTGGCGTGCTTTGTGCATGCTCCACATATGTATTAGCTGTGAGGAGCGCGAAGAGCTTGAAGCAAAAGAGGCCGCTCTGGAGCGTTGGCAGCTGGGCCTAGCAACCAAATCCTCTTCTTTGTGCGAGCGGGAGTTGGCTCTTCAAGCGAAAGCTCGTCAGATCGAGGCGATGCAGACTGCCGTGGAAGCGGCCAGGCAGAAGCTTGAAGAGAGTCATGTGACGAAGGAAGAGGTCGAACTTCAAATGGCAGAGTTGGAAGCGAAGCTTGCAAGAAGGCTTAGTCCCGGTGAGATTGATCCATCTTGCAAGGTGATCTTCGAGATGCGGGAGGAGCTTGAGTTCTGGCGGCAAGGATTTGAAAGATCGCGCAGCATGCTCTCACATTTCAACTGTGATGCAGCCCAGTTCTTCGAAGATGAGACGTTGATCGCTCCAATGCAGCGATTGCTAGTGGCAACTGCCAGGTCCCACGATCAAGACCATCGAGGTCAGCCTAGCAGGTGCAGGCCCATGTCCAACGCGAAAGTGCGGCAGGTGTTGCGTGTAGTGAACCCAAGATTGTGGCACCAGTATGCAGCAAGTGTGAGGCAGGTGTCAATGCAATGCGACGCCCGAGGGCCACCCAAGCAAACCAAGCTGTCAAGGGAGATGAGCCTCTTGAGCAAGGAGGCCTTTCAGATGCCCTGCGGAGGCAATCGCAGCCTGGGAGCTGCCTATTGGATCCAACTGGATGAGAAAGCCAACGAGGTGCTTTTGTTCCATGGAACGCAGGCCCAGAATGGGCAGCTCATCGCAACCACAGGCTTCGACAAGAAGCGAATCAGGAGCGGGCGGTATGGATCAGGTTTTTACTTTGCTTGTGAAGCTTGCAAGTCCTTCCAGTACTCTATTCCAGACGACAGCAGCAGCCACCACTGTATTGTTGTACGTGTGGCCCTGGGCAAAGCGCGCTTCACAACGACACCGCTGCAAGGCTTCAAGGATGAGATCCTCGGCAACAGCTCGCATTCCGTCGTAGTCCTGCCTGGGTCGCAAGGAGGTCCTCCTGATCAGTATCATCACGAGTTTGTTATCTTCGATGAGCGTCAAGCATTTCCGGAGTTCATTGTTTACTTCGATGTTTGATCAACATCAGCGAAGGGTGGACATGGTGGACAACAAATTCGCAGCTGACGCGTCGTCAATTCGATGCACGGACTGGCACGGACCCTGCTCAGCGCGCAAAAGAAGGCCAACATTTGTCGCGACTCAGCAGTGTTTTCGTAGCCAAGGCCTTTTTGCTTGCAGCACTTCAGTTTGATGCACTTTGGGATAAATGTGTAAGAGCAAGCGAAAGCGCAAGAGTCAATCTGCCGCCGTGGTCAAAGAGTCTTCTTGTAAAGGTTATGTGGTGAGTTCTCAAATTATGGTACATTACGGACCGCCTTGTAATCGTGACCCCAGAAGGGAGCACATTTTAGAGAAGTGGCCGTGATAGGGTGAGACGATGCCGGTTTTGTGGTTTGTTGATGAGCTCGTAGCGAGCTTGAAGGGGAGGTCCCGGTATGCGCTGCGCTCCATCTTGCATACTTTAGAGCAGAAGACCACAAAAGCACTAAACCACTAAACCACGCCGAAACCTTAGACCCTAAACCCTAAACCCTGCTAGGCCCTCTGGTGCGTCTCTGGAGCTCTGAGGTCCTCAGTGCGTCTCAGGCGCTCTGCTGAGAGCGGCGGCCAATCCATGTGCTCGAGGAGCCAAAAAATTGCACCCTTTTCGAAGGTCCCTCTAAGGGATTCTGCTCTACTATTTGGAGTATTAAAGGCGTGCCCCCCCCTATTTTGGGAAATGCCCATATGAACTGGCCTTTCTGGTTCAGTGTAGGGTATTCTTCCGTAGCGTCTGCGAAGATTGAGCCCAAATGAAATGGGTTTTGTGATGAAGCAAGGTAGTTTTGGTGGGTAGGGGTAAATTTGAATATTGCATGTTACTAGAATATGTGTTGATCGAGAAATGGCGTTTCGGGTAGGTGTATGTTAACAACATAGGGCTTACATGGGGGATATATATGTCGGTACTTGTGTAGGCTCTTGTTGTAGGACTTTTGGTTCCTTTCCACTCGATTATTGTCAACCTTGAAACCATATGTTACTGCAGTCTTTGATGTTCATTGCCAAGTTTTGAAGGGAATGCAAGTGCTTATTTCGAGCAGCTTGTGCTGGTGATCAGGGTCAAAGCTGGCATGAAACCTGCAGGCTGCATGGCTAGACATCCCATGCTTCGGGTAGTTCGGGGGCGATGGTGGGCTTGCTTGCGTTCTTGCGCCCGTTGCATCGTGCATCGGTTTTTTTGATGAACGAATGGAGTTTTAACTGGGAGTGTGTATGCGAAAGTCTTGGAAAACAGAGATCACGAACATCATATCAAAGAACATATATCAGTCGGTATTCATGACGATATCTCTCAAATCTTGGAAGGACGTCGAGTTATATAATCACGGCAGAATGCCTCTAGCCGAATCGCTGCAATGTGAGATGCGCAATACGTGACGGAAAATCTTGGTCCTTCAGGCGCCAAGATAAAGAACCTTCGCACAACTTCGACAAAATGAGCCATTTGCGAGCCCATTCTGTCGCAATGAGACGGGCCAATCTTTGGTCAAGGCCACCCACGAGATACGCGGACCACGAATGAACAACGAGGGAATCTCAGATGGCGAGTCCTGAGCCATTGCGAGAGAGGGCGCTTTCAGTTGCCACGGATTTCAGACATCGTCGAGGAACCTGGCCAACCAAAAATGGACCAACCGACTCATCGAATACCGGAGAGCTGCAATGTGCCCAAATAACTAATACCGATTCACGATTCCGATTCCTGTCTGACGCGTGCCCGACGGCACTTCGCGAAGGTTTTTCCGCAACTCCGGTGAGGCGCATCATCATGATCCGGACATCATTGAGGAATGAGAGGCAGTTTCATGGTGCCGTGAGCCGACTTAAAGTGGGGGGTTTAGGGTTTAGGGTTTAGGGTTTAGGGTTGAGGGTTTAGGGTTGAGGGTTTAGGGTTTAGGGGTTAGGGTTTAGGGTTTCGGGTTTCGGGTTTAGGGTTTAGGGTTTAGGGTTTAGGGTTTAGGGTTTAGGGTTTAGGGTTTAGGGTACTTGGCTTCAGGAGGTCTGTGCCTTAGGACGTGGCTCCGCTGGGCCCAGTGTGGCGGCGGGTCGAACCACCGTAAGTTGTGCAAGCCGGTCGACGCCATCGCGGAACGCATTGTGCATTTTGGTGTGGTTGTTACCTGCCCTCAGCAGTTGGGAATGCTTCCCTTCCCGGCAGTTCTTGGGCTGAAATGGCATGTGATTGCCTGCCTTCATGACAAGGCGTGATGTCCCCGAGCGTCGGTCGCGAGCTGCACACCGCGCCATTTCTGATGGAGAAGTGCGCAATGCGCGACGAAATCCACCCATTCCCCTTGGAGCACAGGCCGCGCAGTTTGTGATTGAAGGGTTCGCGTGCCCACGCCGCTTGAACACACCATGCCAATTTGTGATTGAAGAGCAAGTCGGCCCGTGCCCCTTTGACTTGTGATGGAAGGTTTGGCCGCCATTGCCTCGAAAAACACGCCGCCAGACCGATTTGCAGTTGAGGTCATCTTGCGATTGGACAAAGTTCGACTGCCCATGCTTTTTGGTCCACCCACGCCCCTACGCTGTGCCATTTCTGAACGGCTGCGCAAGTTGTGACTGAAAAGGTTCGTCCGCCCACGCTCCTTGAAGCACACGCCGCGCCATTTCTTGTTTGAAACGTTTGCCCTGCTGCCGCCTCTTGGACCACACGCTGCGCAATTTTGGGAAAAATGCAGCTTTGACACAATTCTAAACCGTAGCCCTTAAGCCCGAAAGAGGTCGTGGAGAATGTGAGGCTTGTCGCTCTCCGCATCAATGTGGCCTTGGCGTACCAGTTTTCCTTGTCCACCACCCAAGCCGCTTGAGAAATGCGACGCACTGTGATTGAAGTGTTCATCTGCCTGCGCCGCGAAAGCCGTGTGCCATCTGCTTCTTCAAATCCAATGGCACCGCCGGTTTCCATAGTTCGCATCGCTCATCCGCCCACGCCGGTAAACACGTGCCACGCCATTTGTCCGCCCACACCCTTTTCTACGCGCCAGCATTCACGGAACCCCCTTCCCACACACTGTCCCCAGCCGCCCCGTTCAGGTCGGGTCCCCCCTTCCCTTTCTGGTTCATGGCCCGTGGTTCATGGTGTGGTTGGGGTTTGCGGTAGGCGGTTGGGTTTAGACTTTAGAGCTCAAGAGTTTTTTTATTTCTCATGTTTTTTTTTTGCCGTTGCGCGCTCGTGTCCTCAAGGCCGCATGGGCACAGCCAACCGCCGCGCTTACACCCGGCACCAGGATACGCGAAGTCCGAGCCCCGCCGAAATGTGGGGCGCCTGGCCAAAGGCAGTGTGCCAACGGCCGCTTGCATGGCGACCGAGACCGTGGGGGGCGCGCGGCAAGCGCGCAAGCGGATCAATATCTCTGACGAACCGCAGCGCCTCCATTCCAGCGGCCTCCCACTTCGGCCCCATAGTACGGAGGGATATCGCGCTGCATGTGTGCTTGCTCCTTGGCACGTGCGTGCGTGCGTGTTCGTGCGTTTTCGTGAGTGTGCGTGCTTGTGTGCGTGCATGTGTGCGCATGTGCGTGCATGTGCGTGCATGTGCGTGCATGTGCGTGCATGTGCGTGCATGTGCGTGCATGTGCGTGCATGTGCGTGCGTGTGCGTGCATGTGCGTGCATGTGCGTGCATGTGCATGCACGTCGGCGTGTGCATGCACGTCGGCGTGTGCACGCATGCGCATATGTGTGCGTGCGCATCTGCATCCGGATGCCTGCGCTCAATATATTCCGGATGTCCACACAACCCTCGTGTCTCCCCTCACGGCTGCCCGGCCCCACCCGCCGTGTTGGGGCGGCACTCCGCATCGCGCGCCGCGCGAAACTCCGCACTTCCCCGAGTTCGCTCGCGCCCCCCGGTGCCGTCTGATCGTCATCGGCATTGAGGTTGGTGGGAGGTGCCTTGAAGCAGCCCGCTTCGTGCGTCTGCTGGCACGTTGCCGTGCCCGTTCTGTGCCACCGTCCAGCCATCCCGCCGCCATGTCTGCTTTTGCCCAGCGGTGGTCAGCCCTGCTCGCTTTCGCCGCTGAGCGGGCCTTCGCAGCAAGCCTGTTGTCGCTCCCCCTCGCTGGCACAGGCAAAATTGAGGGGAACCCCCAACCCTCAGCGAGTTCCTTGCTGCTTCCTCCCTGCTCCCATGCCGTGACTCGGCTGCCTGCGCCCTGGCTGTGGCGCCACTGCGCAGGAACCGCGTGGACAGGAGGAAAAAGGCTCGAGGAAAAAAAAGTTCGCTCGCCCAGACCACACCCGAATTTGGGCTGTGCAATTTGTGATTGGCCGTTTGTCCGCTCTGTCGCACCCTTGGTGATGAACAGGTTCGTCCACATCGGAAGGCAAGTTGAGCGCCATTTTTGCCTAATCCAAGCCTTTCGGCTCTCGCCCGAAGGAACGTAACCTTCTTGCACACTGCATGGTTGATGTGTCAAGCTGCGTAAACAGCGCTGGGTGCATGGTCTGCGGCCAAATGCGGCCACGTATTCACGGATGCGTTGCAAGTCCGGTACTGGGCCGCTGGTGCATCCGGTTTAGTCCAGAAGTAGGAGCGTTTCTTGGCTTGCACGTCGTTCCGCCGAGACGAGTTCGCAGACGACCCGTGCGCCGAAACTTGTGTTGCCGGCATTGGCCGTAACTCACGATCGTTCGAGGACTCGTCTCTCTCGCGAAGCAATGCGACATATTGCCTCACAGTTAGTTTTGATCGCGGCACGCTCGAGTTTACGCTCGGTTGCGTTCCTTCTGTCGCGAGCTAGAGGACTACTCTACACGCTCACACACGCAATGGCAAATGTGGCTCACTGTGCTGGCTGGGGTGCAGCAGAGCAGGCCAGGCCCGCCCGCTGCACAGCCACCCCGAGCAAGTTCCACCAACGCTGGCGGCGGCTGCGTTGAAAACCTTTGGCCCGAATCCGTGTTTTTAGTTTCGCACGCTTGGGCTCTCCGAAAGCCTTTGGCCCGAATCTGTGTTTCAAGTTTATC